AGAGATAGTAGGAACTGCAGATGCTGGAGAATCCGAGACAACAAGGTGCAGGGCTGGATGAACACAGCAGGCCAAGCAGCATCATAGGAGCAGAGAGGCTGACGTTTCGGGCCTAGACCCTTCATCAGAAAAGGGGGAGGGGAAGGGGGTTTTGAAATAAATAGGGAGAGAGTGGGAGGCGGATAGAAGAGGGATAGAGGAGAGGATAGGTGGAGAGGAAACAAACAGGTCGAAGAGGCGGGGATGGAGCCAGGAAAGGTGAGTGTAGGTAGGGAGTTAGGAAGGGGATAGGTCAGTCCAGGGAGGACGGACAGGTCAAGGGGGCGGGATGAGGTTGGTCGGTAGGAGATGGAGGTGCGGCTTGAGGTGGGAGGAGGGGATAGGTGGGAGGAAGAACAGGTTAGGGAGGCAGGGATGAGTTGGACTGGTTTTGGGATGCGGTGGGGGGAGGGGAGATTTTGAAACTTGTGAAATCCACATTGATACCATTGGGCTGCAGGGTTCCCAAGCGGAATATGAGTTGCTGTTCCTGCAACCTTCGGGTGGCATCGTTGTGGCACTGCAGGAGGCCCAGGATGGACATGTCATCTGAGGAATGAGAGGGGGAGTTGAAATGGTTCGCGACTGGGAGGTGCAGTTGTTTGTTGCGAACCGAGCGTAGGTGTTCTGCAAAGCGGTCCCCGAGTCTCCGCTTGGTTTCCCCGATGTAGAGGCAGCCACACCGGGTACAGCGGATGCAGTATACCACATTGGCAGATGTGCAGGTGATGAGGATGATTGGTTTTTCTTTCAGAGGGTAGGCAACCTGTGGAATTCTTTACCACAGAGGGCTGTTGAGGCTAGGTTGTTAAGTATATTCAAAGCTAAGATAGACAGATTTTACTCAATAAAGGAACAAGCGATTATGGGGCTAGGCAGAAAAGCAGATTTGAGGATCATCAGATCATTGTGATCTCAATGAATGGTGTAGAGTTGATCATGTCTTATAGCCTTCCAGAACCAAGACTATAAATCAGTACATGCTCCTGGAACATTAATGCAACTTTGCTCATAAACCCCCTGTGGGGTGTATGACCAGAGAGGGCCATGAGTTTAATAGAATTTAGGATAAACAAGTTCCATTTAAACTAAATTAGTTCAAATGTTTGAGGGTGCAATTCAAGGTAGACTTGGGGTCAGATACAAGTATATTTCTCCTAGAAAAGTTATTATTCTGAACAGTTAAGGAAATAAATTGCCTCAGTGAAAGGGTGTAGTTTGGGAAACTTCCAGACGAGGAATATTTGATTATCACACTGCACTTAATTAAAAGACAGAGAAAATCTAAGCTCTCAGTTGTGAGAATATTCAAGGAAAATGCTGCATAGCTCCCAGGACCAGAACTCAGAAAAAGCAGTTAAGTCAAAGTTACAGATAGGCAAGGTAAATTTCCTTTTTATTATCAACCTTAAATGGATAGTGCTGGGGTGTAAATGGGATTTTGTTTTTAAATCTTCCAAAATGTGTTATATTTAGACAGCTAGGTTTTTTTGTCATTTATTTTATATAACAAACTTTTGTTTTATTATCAAAACCAAATCTGCAACCTTATATGCTCTTGTTTTAGACAAAGACTGCCACATTAGAAAACAAACTATAATTTATCAAGCCAATTTTCATTCTGTGATTTGATTTGTACAAATTGTAACATTACCTGGGATCATTACAGTGTTGCAGTTTGAGATGGAATTAGGTGAAGAAATGACTAAACAATGTATGTGAGATTATTTTCACCACTTCGGTTTCATTACTCTCACCATAAGCTATCCAAACCTAGAGATGGAAATTGATCTCACTTGATTAGAGCTATATCCCCCTGACTAGTCACAAAGGCAGCATAATGCAAATTGTGAAACATCTTTAAATTATTTGAAAGGTCCTAATTTGGAAAGCTTTTTCTGTTGTATGTTGTATTGGACATACATACAGCTTGACAGTAACCGGGAAGGATTTCATGGAAAGTAGGAAACGATATCGGTCATAGTGAAGTTATGGTGTGCCACAGTGATCAGCGTTGGGGTCTCAACTTTATACAATTTATATAAATGACTTGGCTAAAGGTATGATTGTCAAAAATAGGTAAAAAAAAGTAAGTTGTGAGGAGGAAATGAGATGATTTCAATAGAATATAGATAGGTTAAGTGAGTGAGCAAAGATCTGGACACTTCAATGCTGTGTAGGCAAATGAGTTATTGCTGATTTTGGCAGGAAGAATAAAAGAAAATTATCAAATTGGTGAAAACACAAAGATACATGGAATCTACATGTCCTAGTGCATGAATCACTAAAGGTTACGACGTAGGTACATTAAGTAACTAGGAAAGCTGAAAAAATGCTATAATTTATCGGTACTAAATACAAAAGGACACAGATTATTCTTTAGATTAACAGAATGTTGGCACGACCACATCTGGAGTACAGTGTACATTATTGATTTCCTTAATGAAGGAAAGATGCAAATGCTGGAAGCAGTTCAGAGAAGGCTTACCAGATAATACCTAAAATTGAAGGTTTTATTGTGAGAAAAAATTTGACAGGCAAGACTTTTATACGCTTAAGCTTAGAAGAACAAGTGTCAACTTGATCGAAACAAAGATCCTGAGATGAATTGACACGATGGGTGTGAAGGGGATTTTTATTCTATCTGGTGAATCTAGAACTAGTGGTCACTTTAAAAATAAGGAGTCATCTACTTAAGAATGAAGTGAGGAGAATTTTTTTTCTACAAAGGCTTGAGTATCTTTCTTCCTCAGAAGATGGTAGAAACAGTTGTTGAATATTTTTCGATACAGAGATAGATAAATAGATTCTTGATAAGTAAGGGAGTGAAAGGTTATTGATGGTAAGCAGGAACTCAGAACACTTAGATCTTATTGAAGGGCAGAGCAAGTTCAAGGTGTCGAGTAGCCTACTCCACACCTGACTTGTATGTATGTAACAGGAAACCACTGTATTCGTTGTCCACTGACAAATAAATAGGGAATGAGAGGAACACATTATTCTGGATCTTTTTGCATAGAAGGTTATGAGGTGACTCTCTCCCAATGCACTTGCCTTGTAAGCTGTTGAGTTCACTGACACTGCTCTGCCTCGTGATGTGATGCCAGTACGCACTTCGAGGGAGTGTTATTGTCATGAGTGCCATCTCCTCGCTGGGACTGGACTGCAGCTGAAATACAGAAACAGAATGCTTTTAGACACACTCAGAAATACAGCATTGAAATAAAAGACAGAACTTCAGAACAACTTTGAACAAGTGAATATAATAAAGCAAAAACTTCAAATGCCTAGAGTTTCTGCACAGGGTTTTCAGGCTGCAAGATGATAGTGCAGGGGTGGGGAGTCTCAGATTTTCACTTTGCACGCAGTGACAGCAGTCTTTAGGTTAGACGTAGCTTGTTCCCTCGTCCTATCTTTAATACCATCTTCTACTTACTATATTCTTGACTTAACAGAGTGAGAGCATATCAATTAGCATTGTAAACAGTGGCAATCTTAAGCTTCTGTTTAAAACAGTTAGTACATTTGGAAATATATAATGATGTGGCGAAATACTTGAGTGGAGTGTTCCATGTCAGTGTTCTTTACAGTTAGTGTTCTTTACAGTTAACGCAATCTGTTGTTAAACTGCCTGATGCAATTCTATTTTAATGAATTGATCCTTGTCTGATTCTTGTTTATCAATGGAAAACAGCTTGTAGCAAAGTGCTTGGTGCCATCAAAAATTTTGCTGCCATTTGTAGCAAGCTGTCATTTGTTGATGAAGTACAAGATTCCTGATGCAAGTCCTTCGTGAGGTTAGCAAAGCTATCTCACCCAATGTAGTGGTATCTAATGGAGTTCTGATGGTGCTTTCTTTATGAATCAGGCCTCTCATAATTTCTGCTACTGCTCATTCTCTTCCTCCAGTGTATCTAATAAATTGAATGTTGTGGAAGTGCTACTTTTAAGGTGTGAAAAAGTGTTATCCAACTTGCTCTGTGCCAGACCTCTGCCCAACTACCATCTTGCTTCAAAAACAATACCAAATTATCAACTATCAAAATTATTTGAGCTGGATGGTAATTATGAATTAATTTGCATTTAAGTGCTTTGTAACAGTTTAACATGCCAAAATCTTGACTCAATGAAGCGCAGTGAAAGCTGGAAGAACAGCACCTCATTTTCTTTTGGGAACTTTGCAGCTTTCTGGACTCAATATCAAATTCAACAATTTTAGGCTTAAGCACCTTCTCCCATGTCCTTACCCCAATCTCCGCACACTGGGCTTTGTCATCACATGGGCTGCTACCACAAACAACTCATTGTCAGCCACTAATGGTCCTTGTTAGCAGCATTTCACTCTCAAAGGCTGACCTTTACCCATTCTTTTGTCTGCCCAACAATTTTTTTTCTCTCTCTGGGTTCCATCTCCACCTACTGTTTACTTCTTCCCCTTCCCTCACCCATTTTCAGCATATTTACTAATATTTTCCTAGCTACAATCAGTTCTGAAGAAGGATCACTGCACTCAAAACGTTAATTCTGATTTCTCTCCACAGATACTGCCAGACCTGCTGAGTTTTCTAGCAATTTCTGTTTTGTTTCTGATTTCCAGAATTGCAGTGTGTTTTTCTTTAGTGCTTAACTCAGGATTGTTCACTTCTACCATGGTGAATCAAGCTAAGGTTTATCTGCACACCTCTTTCCATTGCTGCATTTGCACCAAGTTTCCCTTAACTGGAAAGCACAGCAAAGTTTCAGCATTCCCTCTAATGCCACATGACTATCATCTCAACCATTAACATCTTAAGATGTAGCATTGACCAGAAGCTGAAAGAGACCATTATTGTCCACGCAATAGCTGTAGGGACAGGTCAGAGGCTACTTAGCCTGTGCCGTGTGGCTTACTTCCTGACCAATCACCCTAAAAGCCTCCTCACAATCTCCAAGACTGAAGTCAAGAATTCAATAAAATAATGCGATAAAATGATGTCCGCTGACCAGGATGGGTGCAGCCAGTATGCTCGTGAATCTCAAGAGTAATCAGGATAAAAGCATTCACTCGATTGTTGCTCTGCCATTCAACATAATATCTGCCACATTATGTAAGATCAACTTATAAAGAGGCAGCGACATAGTAGTAATGTAACTGGACAGGTCATCTGGAAGCTCAGGCTAAGGCTCTGGGGACACGGATTTGAATCCCACGATGACAGGTGGTGAAATCTAAATTCATAAAAAATCTAGAATAAAAAGCTAGTTTAATGGCAACCACGTTACTCGACTGGTTATCATAAAACCCATTTGATGTCCTTTAGGAAAGGAAATCTGCCGTACTCACCTGGCCTGGCCTGGACATAACTTCAGGTCCACAGAGTGTGGCTGACTCTTAACTGACCTCTGTGCAACTAAGGATGGGTAATAAATACTGCGCTAACCAGTAGCACCCACATTCCACAAATGAATAAGATAAACAGGGAATGCTGTACAACTCTCCAAGCTTACTTCAACAGTAGCTTCCTCTGGTGTGACTTCTTTCATCAAGGAGGACAACATTGTTGGAATCTATACCCCTCCAAGACACAAACCATCTACAATTGTGACTATATTGCTGTTTTTGGATTCCATTCTCATGGAATTCTGCATCAAATATCATTCTGGGAGGGAATTTTCACCATAAGAATTTCAACAGTCAGGGAAAAAAGCCAGGATCATCTCGGAGGGCAAAGAGAATGGGCAATAAGTGAGTATTGTCCATGCCACCCACATATCAATAAAAAAATGAAATAGAATGTAGTGACTAATTTCATTTACCAAGTAATCTACATTTTTTTTTGGCAAATATGATATGCATCTTAATTGTCACCCAATTGGATCAAAGTTCAAAAGCACAAATCGGGTTTTGGTAGCTAGGCAACTATTTAGGGAGAGGTTTTCTCAGTGAGCAGCACAGTGAAGTGCTTCTCCATTGCTGGGTATTATATACAATAGAATATATTGTTTTTTCTTAAATAGTGAAATCACATTGAGATTTTAGTTTATTAGAGTGAGAGTTCAAACAAAATCGTTTTGTTTGCTATTTTAATGGAGGCACTAATCTTGTTTTGGAGACAAACATACTAGAATATACAATAACACATTTAGTCATTAATTGTACTGAGTGCAATTTCATCCCTTTGATGTTCAGAATATCTAGAGGATGAAAGAACATTTGTAAGGAGCATGTCATATTGTAAGTGACTCCTGCATTTAGCCCATCAATTGCTTTTTCTCTGCTCATAATTTGCACCACAATAGCCTTAGTCACAGACCTGATTTTGCTGACAACATTGTCAAGTTACCAATTTATCCCAAATGGTGTACGTTATACACATAAATCAAACCAGCCTTCTCTTTTAACATCTTATAATTGTATGTCCATCTTGCTGCTGTCCATTTCTCTGTCACAGCCACTTCTTACTTTCCTCTTGTTGAAGGATAGTTTTGCCTATCGATACGAGTAGAGCATTGGTACTTGCCGATCAGCTGCTTGTTTCACATGCCTTCTCTATAATTACTTCAACAAAACAGAAAGTCAGGCTGAGTGAATAACATATGGTTAACCACCAGCTTAGCATGCTCCACAAAGTGAAAATTGACCATCTATATCTTCCCAGAAGTGCTAATGGCCAACTCCTGCACTTAAATCCTTTGTTCCTAATATTTTTCTGTTGCTGTGGGTGGCCCACAGTGCCTCACAGGTGCCCAGGGCTGCTAGATCTGTTCTGAACCTATTTCATTTAGTGCACTACTGGCACCACACAACCCTCTGGTGGTTATCCTCAGTGTCAAGATGGGATTTTTGTCTCTGCAAGGACCATTGTGGTCTCTCCTACCATTACTGTCATAGATAGATGGATCTGCATTCAGTGGGTTGGTGAGGCCAATGTCAAGTAGCTTCTTCCTCCCATGTTCATTCTCTCAGCACCTTCCACTGGCTCTGCATAACAGATATGCCCTTCAAAACCTAGCTATCACAGTCAGTGGTGGGAGTACCAAACCATTCTTGGTGATTAGCAATGAAGACCCCCAGCCAGACTGCATTCTGTGCTCTTGGTACTCTCAGTGCTTTCATCAAGAGATGGTGCCCAAGATGAAGGCATACCAATTCATCAACTAAGGGAAGGCATTAGGTAACAACATGCAAGAGGTTTCTTTGCTCACTTCTAAAGTGATGCCTTGAAACCTCAGAGTCTAAATTCAAAATGCTGAGGACTACTCTCTCTTAAAATGTACCCTACTATACTGTTATCTCTGACATGTCTGTCCAGCCAGTGGGAGTCTAAGACATTGGCTGAAAGGTATGATTCTGTGAGACAGTTGAATGACTTGTCTGTGGGACAGCTGTTGGCAATATTGGCACAAGTTCTCAAATGCCAGGGCCGATAGCTTTATGGTATGATTGGGCTGGCTGGGCCTTTATTACGGCCAGTGCTTAGGCTGATGCTGGTTTGTCCCTTCAGCTTATGCTTATTTCATAGCAGTTTGTTACAACTGAGTGGTTTGTAAGCCCATTTCAGAAAGCTGTTAAAAGTCAATTAACCATTTAATTAGGGAAAACAGTGTTATACTAGTAACACCACTGGACAAGTAATCAAGAGCCCAAGTTAACACGCTGGGTACTTGGAGTTCAAATCCCACCATGGAAGATACATTTGATTAAGATATCTAGAAATGAACCTCACCAACCCACTAGTCCCAGTATTGGTGGCCAGGACAACAATTATTGATTGTCATAAAAACTCTCCTGATTCACTGATGCTCTACACTGAATGTGACTCCAGACCGATGTGGTTGACTCTGAAATGGCCTTACACACATTACCATTGAGTTCAAGGGCAACTATGGATGGATAATGAATCCTTTATTCATTCACGGGATGAGGGGGTCACTGGCTAGGCGGGATTTATTGCCCATCCCTAATTGCCCAGAGGGCAGTTAAGTGTCAACCACATTGCTGTGGATATGGAAATGCAGACAGAACAAATGCAGACAAAAGAACAAAGAATTACAAATTTTAAAGACATTAAGTTAGAAGGCACAATAAGCTGCCAAATGGGGGTAGCGAGTTACCAAAAGACACACTAAATAATAGCTGATAGGGTTCAGTGTGTGAAGTGGTTAGCACTGCTGCCTCACAATGCCAGG